TTGTGTGTATTAGTTAGAAATGACTTTTTAGATAACTTTGCAACTTCAAGATAATTGCTTGTCAATTTAACCTAGTGAAACTTATCAATTTAAACAAAAACATCATACCATGAGCTTATCATTATGTAAGAACATTGTATATTTAAAGCAAACAATAAATCAACCATATATACAATTTTATATCCTAACATACTTCAATCAATCAATTTTTCACATAAGCCAATTTTACAAACATGGTCTAAAACAAATAATAAATCAAATTTGTTGAACTATTAATGCAAATTTTTTACATTTAACAACAAAAGCATTGGTCAACCAAGACTAGATTCATCTCATATACCTATTTCATTTCTTATAAGATAAAGTATATCTTTAGGGAGGGACCTGGTGAAAATGTTTGTTAGTTGACTAGTTATATAAACAAGTTTTATTGTACAATCATCTTTTTAGATGTGGTCTCTAAGGAAGTGATGTCTTATCTTTATGTATTTGGTCATAAAGTGTATAATGTTGATTTTGGTAAGATTTTATAGTATTAGTATTGTCACACTTTAAAGAAACGTGATATAACTCTACACCGTACACTTTAAGTTGTTTTATCTATAATAGTTGAGCACAACAACTCCTAGTTTCAATGTTTTAGCTTTAATTAAGGATAAAACAACACATGTTCTCTTCTTGCTTTGTCAAGAAACGAGAGCACTTCCAAGCGAGTATTAAGTACAATTAATGTGTTTCCTACCAAGTTTGCAATTTGAAAGTGAGTTTGAAAATCTAACTAAACTTTTAACAACCCGATTTTCACAGATTGAACGAAGGCCCAAAGCCCAATAGGGGTAATTTAGTAGCCTAGAATGGGCCGTTCCCAAATTGGAACGGGCCGTTCCAAACTACTAAAATGAGAGTGATTTAGTATCTCAAAACGGATCGTTCTAATATTGGAACGGGCCGTTCCAAAATACTAAAATTGCCTACAAATCTTAACTGGGAATGGGGCGTTCCAAATTATCAAAAAGGCTTGTAATCCTAGTTGGGAACGGGCCGTTCCAAATATGACCGTTGTGGGTTAAATGCAACCCCAGAATGGGCCGGTCTGGTTTGAGAGCGGGCCGTTCTGGTTTGAGAACCGGTCGTTCTGGATGTGAAATTTTACACATAATGTAAGAGTCCAGAACGGGCCGTTTTGATTTCGAAACGGGCCGTTCCGGCGACGCCTGATGCCTACAAATAGAGAGCTCTGGCACTTCCAAAAAGCACACCTTTCAGTTCTGACTTCTTTCAGTTCTGACTTTTCCTTCTACACTCTTTGAAGATTGAGGGGCACTCAGAGGATGAGACCAAGGAGATCTCTGTTTTAGTTTCAACTACTACTTATCGAGGTACGGGGGAAAAAGGATTATTTGTATGTAAAGTTATATGAGGGAATTGGGTAGAAGAGGAAGCTCGTAGGATTATGAGTAATTTTATAATTATTTCTGTTTGGAGAATTATTGGTATTATGAGATTCTGTATGTGTTTAGGATTATGAATATATGATTAATTTGTAAAAATGATGCTTTAGGAGAGAGAACGACATCGTAGAAAAGTGCCTGTGAGTTAGGTTTGTGGAAAAATTGGGGGTTTTACTATTCGAGTTAAGATTATAGTAAATTAGTGATTTAATGGAGTATTATATTAATTTATAAATATTATTGTTATATTATATGGTAAAAATTGATAATCTAGATGAGGATTCATGGTGAATTGCTTGAGGAGTACGTGAACCACTATTTTGTATGGATTTTGTATACGTGTTGTGGAATTGAGTTATGGAATGTGAATGTGAATGTGATTGTGATTGTGGTCCCTCACACTATGACTAGGGGGGGCACGACCTTGGGCAAGAGATGCTACAAGGGTGACCTTGGCATAGTATGGGCTGGTTGATTCCTCATGCTTATGTCGGGGGGGGGACGCGCTTGGGCAAGAGATGTTACAGGCGTGACCTTGACATACTGTAGGATGTGCGATTTCTCATGCTTATGTCGGGGATGACACGACCTTGGGCAAGAGATGCTACAGACATGACCTTGGCATAGGGTGGGATGTGTGAGACAATTAATACTTGTGTCGGGGGGTGGCACGACCTTAGGCAAGAGATGCTACAGATGTGACCTTGACATAGTATGAGAAGGGTGATTCCTCATGCTTATGTCGGGGGTCGCACGACCTTGGGCAAGAGATGCTACAGACGTGACTTTGGAAAAGAGTTAATTGCAAGATTTGTGACGGATTGATGTAATTATGAATTGTGATGTGAAGATGTTGCATGATTGATAGAATTAGGATATATAGAAATCCTTGTAAATACTTCATTAAGTAATGAGTTATGATGAGACGATATTGTGGATTTTCCTTGTGTGCTTTGCATATAGATGTTTTTTTTTCTCACCGTATAATTTGTGAATGTTTTAGGTGAAGAAGATCCAGCTATGAGTGACATCCAGAATGTCAACAGTTGAATTATGAGTATGCTCTGATATTGTGACATCGGGGTAGAGGATTTGTAGGACATGGAATTTTTATATGGATTTAGAGTTGTATTTATTATTTTTAAAAACAATTTGTAAACTCTTATGTTTTATTTTATAATGTTCATTTTCAATCATTTTTGGATATTGAAGAACATTTGTGAATGTTTTTATGTGAACCCTTTTACCAATGTTGAAAAATTTATTTCCTTAATTATTACATTATTACGATATATGTGTTGGGGGTAGTAAGGATGTCACAAAACTTATACCAATTCTACTAAGAAACTACACTCATATGTTTCTAGCTCCCTTAAGATATTTCATAATCCTCTTTAAAATAATTAAATGAAATTCTTTTGGATTAACTTGTATCTAAAACAAAGTTGAACATTATATCATGTTTGCCTTTTTCATCCAAATTCAAGTAGCATGAAATAGACCAACTTTTTATCCCAAAAATCTTTGACAATTCATTACAATATTTGAATTGATAAAGGAATGTGCCATGCTTTAATTGACTAACTTATAGTCCTAAAGAAAAAGTCAACTTTGTAATATAGAAAGAATGATTATAATAGATAGAATATTTGTTAATGTATCTTAAAATTTAAGTTGTCAATCTGTTTTTAAGTTTGATTCAATGACAAAAGTTAATAAATAACCTTTAATTATTAAATTAATATAAAAGAAATTCTAATAATAAAATCATTTATTATAACTTTTAAAATAATAATGTTATAAAAAGAAAAACTATTAAAGAAAAATAAATGATCCTTAAATATTTTTTTTAATTGTGATCATCTTTATATAAAGGCCAGAAAAAGTAATAGAATATTTTATCAAAAAGTAGAAAAGATAAATAACTCTTACATGTCAATTTTTCACAATTTAATTATTATACTTATATTATAAAAAATATTTTTAAAATTGAATCAGTCATTAAATTAGTTTAGACACTAATTCAAGATTCAATAATTGAACCTTGACCAAATCGATATTAATGAAATAATAATAATAATAATAATTTATTATTATTATTATTAATATAAAATAATATTAAATAAATATAATATTATTATTTTATAATATAAGTA